TAGGGACTTTAAGCAAACCACGACGGCTACGGCAACGAGAACGTGGAAAAACAATAGATCTAATTGGCAGAACAATAGCCCAGCACGTGCGTTTTAAAACTTTGTACATTTCTTAGCCGTTCTTTGCAAAACAACAACGTGAAATCACCAAAATTTACGTCGTCTCCGAAGCGAAACCGCGGCGGCAAATTATTTTAATTTACATTTGGAACTCAACGCTACTTTTATGCGTTATGTTGAGTTTGAGGTCTGGCGCCCTATGAGACGGTAAACACATGCAGCCATTTTCGAAATTCTAACTAAAAGTAGAAACTCGTTTTTTAATCGACATCTTCCGTGGCGTTGCCGTCCTGACTGCTTAAAGTCCCTATTGAGCTGGGCGACTCAAACGCTCCAACCAACAGTCGAACCTGGACGATGAGGAATTCAGTGCACCGACCGTTAAAACACTGCGTCTCTCTCCCGTTTTTTAATGTAAGGTGCTCAGTAATTTTTTATATTTCAACGTAGAGGCTGTTACTTTGCTTGCAATTTCTTAAACCCAATATCTTACTTTGCAACGCAATTGCAATTACCCTAGTACTGTTCTCAAGGCCTTGTTAAGCTAGTCTCTTGGTTGACCGGTTGATTCGATTGCAACCCTGTAAAAACAAATTCGAAGATTAATTTCTCGTTGAATCATTAATAGAAATTCATCCCGTAATAATTCAGTTCTTTATTTTTTCGCACATTCTTTCTATTTCCCTTTTTTTTTTCCTTTTTCTTTCTTTTCAGTGTTGTGGCTTTGTTTCGGCAGCTCTGTTTGTCATGGATTCTGCGATTCTGTATAAGAAAATCAATGCCTGACGGAGATACCTTGTCGAAAAGTCCCTCTATTTTTCTTTAAATTAAACGTAACAGTGTTTTAAATAACAGAAGCTAGAAGAACGTAAGAGTATACATGATATGCCATTTAGAATGGAAGTGTGCTCACATGCATCTCCTTGGAAATTTTATAATTTTCTTGATCCAAGTACTTCCTCAGTGGCGCCAAATTTTCACGGTTAAATCGGTTTGTTGGCGCGTGATTTCAGAGTGACCATGGCGTTTTAAATGGGTTACGTCAATCAGTAGAATCATTATATGCGTCAGAGAGACTGCAGACTGTAAAAATAGAAGTATGTCCTAAAAAACAAGGAATATATATCTCAGCCATGGCGTGGAAAGTATATACAAGTATTCACTAATAATTGCGTGCTGCGACTCTAAAGAGTAACCTTACCATTCGAAAACCGTCTTCAAAGATTCGCTTATGAACGCCGCCATTTTGAGAACTGCTCAGTGCACACTTGGGATACAGTGGTACCTTTGGAGTCAAATTTTAACAGGAGACCGCCATCTTTAGAGCACTTCGGAAACCTGGCCGCATACGGGTGGTTAGTTAGTGGGTGAATCAAGTGTCATCAGGAAGCCACCATTTTGAGAGCGGCTCAGCAAACTGGCCACGTACGGGGGATACATTGGTATTTCGTTGAGAATTTTTAGCAGGATGTAGACAGCAATTTCCTAAAACTTGACTACTGAAAACGCAGGTGTTACTGAAGAGTCTCTTGAGGTGTTTAAGTCAACATTGGGCTAAAAGGAAAACCTTCTCAAAAATTAAACAAACAATAAATGGAAATTTGTTTGATGAAGAGGGCAGAGGAATCTAATTTTTTAAGAAATTACTGTCCTTCGTGGTTGAGAGATTCTGCTGTAACAAATTGAAAGAAACGGAAACTGTGTTAAGAATAAAACTGAGATATCCCATAAAAGTTACAACAGTGGTACTGAATTATGAGCAAATGGGACAATATGATCTTAGAAGAGAACTTCAGGCCTACTCTGGGACCTTAAATTGGCTTAAGTCGCCTTTAGTCGCCTAAAGTCGCTTTAAGTTGCTTTAAGTCGCTGTTGGTTACGCAATGTTATAAGGGTTCCACCCTTCCCAATTGACCCGATTGACCCCACTCTAATCATATTGTATTTATTGCAAGGGATTCTGTAAATATTTTTGAGAGAGACTGTTGCTAACTTTGATTTTATCACTTTAGTCAAATAAAATCGCTTCAAGTCGCCTTATTAAGTCGCCTTACGTCGCCTTACGTCGCCTTAAATCGCCTAAAGTCGCAATGTCTTTTTTGCCAATTTTGCTTAAGGAGGCTCAAAAGAGTATTTTTTGACCGCGCGGAGAATGGATTCCAAGATACACGCAAGCTAATTACTCGCGAGAGAAATAAGCGATAGCGCGCGCGATCAGATCCGCGGGCGAGTTGTAAACAAACATGGCCGCCATGAGCGTTTCATAATTGCCGGCACCTCTATTGTTTCCAGCGTAAGTGGTTGTTGGAGAAACAAAAATGGAAAGTTTACCTCTTGAAAGCAGGTAGGAAAATGTTTGGATGGCAGGATTCTTGCTGAAAGTGGTCAAAAAAATTTTATTTAACGAGCGAAAGGAGGATGGTGAAGTCGACACCCCATCAATAAAGTCGCGTCGAGTGCATTCGGTACCCGGTAGATCTTACTTTGTTCCGCGAAAAATTTAAGTGGATACCTCTGAGTGCTACGATTTGTTTCGCATTGAATTTGATTCCCAATAAAATGAAATGACCGAAAACTTTCCTAAACAACTCACTGGAAGATGAAAAGGAAAATGAAATCATTGTTGGATCCAGGATTGTAAACATTGACAGTTTTATTGAGAAGTGTGAATGTTGCCATATAAATAAACATAATTTTCAGTAAACAAGAGATCGTAAAAATGTAGGTGAGACTTTAATTCTAATTCAACCACAGACGGTAAAATGAAAATAAAATATTATCTTTAACTTGTGTGAAAGATTGTTGATATTTCCCTTGATAAACTGTAAATTACAACTACGAAAATGCAAACCACATTTGTTAAAGTGCCACTGAAACGAAATTTTCATGCCTGAGATTTTTTCACATTTTAGTGGTTTGAAACACGCTGATTATCGTTGGCTAATTTGTTTTCGCCAGAAAAAAGGGGAAAGTTGTCTTTTTTAGTGTTGAAAACAGCATTTTGGCTTCAAAACATGTCCGGGCCCTGGGAATGAATGAAAACGATTGCTGACATCACTGGTTGTATTTACCTTGCTAGCGTGGGTCTTTTCTTTTTCATTGTTTGTATTTATACGGTCCTCCATAATGTCTGAAAACGAGCCCTCAACGGGTGAATCTTCTTCCGAAGGGAGGGAATACGTGTGCCGGCAGTGATGGAGAAGATTACTATGCATTTAATGACGATTTTGCGCCGTAACAAGGCGAGCCTTGGCTTCTAGGGAAGACGGCGATAACAATGGCGGCGGCGAAGATGAAGAAGAACACGAAGATGGTATTTTGCCCTCCGGTTTAGAACAACGTTTCGAAGGACGAGTTCCTTTAGACAATTGGTGAGAGCTCATAGCCTGTGTGATTTTTTATTTTTCGATTGAACCTTCAGGCTCAAGTCTAAACATTTCTGTTTACAGGTGTACGTGTGGAAATTGCAGTGTTACACACTTAACTGAGGCGCGTGAAGTTAGTTGCTGTTACGAAATACTCCAGACGAGAGGGAAGTTTACATTTATCGGTCTCGATGCGGAATGCATTTTGAACCATCCCGCCTTTTCTCCATTAACAAACCGTACTGTTCTTAAAGCAACAAACTGCGTATTAATTCCTCGTCCAAACGCCAAGCGGAATTTCGCACCTTTTGTAAGCACACACTTACCATTCTTTGCTCACGCGAGGACAAGGCATTTTCTTGCTGCTGTACACCATCTTTGGTTGGCACAGCATCCTTCTTTAACCATCGCTTTGTTTGAAAGGAAGCTAGAGCCTTCCCCGAGATTTAGATGGAGTCGCTGCTCAAAGTTTGACAATTCTAAATGCACGGAACACAGTACTGATATTTTCGATGGCTGCCGCTTTGTCCGATGTCTTCGCACGAAGCGAACCCATTTCTCGCAAGTTACATCGTCACGAGGAAACATATGCATCGATGTGCCCTCTGTTCTGAAGTTGTTAGTACAACTTACATTTCCGGGCCCACCAGCAACACAGTACTTGCCCAAATACTTTTTTTCGGGCTTCTCAACATTTTTGCCGCACTCCATGCTCATTTGGGGTTTACTCGGAGTTCTGAGAAGTATACAACCAGTGACGTCACAACACTGTTTTGGCCGCGCCAAGATGGCCGCCAATTTTGGGCTCGACTAACCGAATTCAAAGGGCTAGAAGAAAGCTTTCCGCGCTCCGTTGGACCAAAAAAAAAAAAAACTCACAGCGCTTGTTAGTAAGGTTCAGACTTTATTATCATGCAAAAATCAAAGATATGAAAATTTCGTTTCAGTGGCACTTTAAGAAAGGATTGCAAAATTTGTTTTGTTTTCCAATTAAACGGAATAGTGAAAGTTCACGGTTATGAGAGTGGCAAAGAGAAAAAAATAAGATTTTCTTCAGAACTTTTTTGTGATAGACTATTTTGTATATGGGCCACTCAAGGTAATGCGTGGGTGTATCTTGCAGCTGTAGTACGTATCACTTTGTACAAAGCTCGAGAAGTTTGCTTTTATAACACCTCCTGCTTATCCTGTACAGTGTCTTTATTAATTCAGATCATTTTTCGAGCATTGGTTTGTGAACAAAGCAATTATATTCCGTACTTATAGTAACTCCAACTTTACACTTCACACTTTTATTTCACTTTTTTTATAAACTTACAAGATATTTCTTTGACCAGCAGATTGCAAATGCTATTCATGGCGGGTCAATTTTTTTTCTTGAATAACTAAGTTTAATTACACTGGAAATAAAACGGAATTGAAGAATTTTAACATAAAAAGACAAAAGATACTCAAGAAAAGAAAAAAGAAGAAAGACGAAAGACGTTCATTGTAAAGGAGAAAAAGACTTACAGTTTCCAAGCGTACGAAACATATTGTAGAACTGGTTCAATTGTGCTGTGTTTTTATTTTTAGCATTATCCCATAAGGCTCTCTAGAATATTGAGAAGAGCACGTTTTTGAGGGATTTCTTTGACAAATTTTTATATTCAGCAGGTATCTCATTCCAGATTTTGACACCAACTCCTTTCAATTCATTTTATCAGGTACCATTGGTAGATTTTGTCGCTATTTTTTTTCCTAATTTGTTGGAAAATAAGTGGCATTAACTTTTACAGGGATTTGAAAACGTGAGTTGCAACTGACAGGTTGTACAAAATGTAATAATTCTTACAGATCTGTGATTAAAAAATCGATGAAAAATGACCTCTTTGCTAATGAAAAATGGGAGCGTACTCGACTGATCGCAGACAAAAAACAAATATTTCGTTGCCTATTTGTTTAACCATCAGCAGTGTTTACTTTTAGTAGGATCTTGTAAGCCTAAGTAGTCATGGAAACAGTAATATTTTGGTTAACAACTTTAAAGATTGCTTAGTTAGATCGTAAAGTAATTTCCCCCGGGATCATCGATTTACAGCTAAACGAGAAGGTGATATGAAACAAAATTATACGGTATTGATATGACGGTTCCAATTCAAAAACAAATTCTCTTTGATAGATTATGAGAAACGCATGACAGGACGGAAAATACGTGCATTTAGAAGCCTTAAAAAAACTTTTCTAAGGCTTTGTATGGGACAACGGGAGTGTACTTACAGTGCACGCATTTTCCGTCCTGTCATGTAGTGCACATTTACGAGAACGTAGGTTTTGAGCTCGGCGGAGGCAATGCCAGCTGCAAGTTACTTTTGATTAAAATGTGGGTTTTAGCGGAACTCTTGCCGATTGTCAGGTGACGTTCGAATATAAGAGTGTTAAACGAATTGGTTTGACTCAGCAGGCACTTGACACGACAACCACAAGTTGGACTTTTTTGTACCCAATATCATTCCAGAATTTTCTACCATGTCAGCTTTGGAAGAACTGCGAAACTTTTACTACGACCGGCTCTCCCGTGAACTTGTGTCTCGAACAACGCTTCAAGTTGTGGTAGAATCAGTGGTGATGGCTTTCGTAGCTCTGAGCGCTTTTCTTGGAAACATATTGGTCTGTGTAGCAGTGACTCGAAACCCGCGTCTCCATACACCCACGAATATCCTGATCTGCGCCCTCTCTGTGACGGACATCACGATGTCGGTGTGTACGATACCTCTAACCGTTGGTGTGCTGATATCGGGGCGATGGATCTACAGCAAAGCAGTGTGTCAATTCCAAGGATCCTTTCCACTGACATTAGCGGTTATATCGTTACAACTCATGGTTACTATTGCCATCAACAGATACCTGTGTGTTATTAAACCCAGTCTTTATCGCCGGATCTTCACAGTGAGGAAATCTCTTGGATTTTCCGTGGGTGTCTTCTGCTTGGCATGTCTCCCGACTCTGTCTCCGATGTTTTACGCCCGCGACGATTACGCCTTTCACCCGGGAAAAGCATACTGCGCCTTCGCTATGGAGAAGAATTTCATTTTTGCCCTCTGTATGGGAATGGGGTTTATCATGAGCCCCTTCATCATCATGTCGTACTTGTATTGTCGGATCTATTGGTCGGTACGTCGTGCGGCTTTCCCGCAGAGCGGCAACGCCGATGCAGAAAGCCAAAGAAATGCGCACGTACAGGAGGTCAAAGTGACCAAAACTCTGGCGGCTGTCCTTGTTGGCTTTTCTCTTTGTTGGTTTCCAGTAATGATCATCGACCAGATCGACATGACCAATGGCGCGCCAATGTTGCCGAGAAAAGTTTATTACTTTTACGGTTTGTCAATTTACATGTCCTCTGCCATCAATCCCGTACTATACGGACTCCTCAACAGGTCATTTCGTATCGAATACAAGAAAATCATCACTTGGAAGTCTTTATGAACACTTCAGTAAATTTTAGCGGAAAACTGTAACGTTGATCTATGCATGTCCGTATACTTTTAGCCTGCAAAAGCTCGAATCCGATTCTTATTGCTGTTTTAGAAAGCTGCCGCTGTCGTGGCGCGCAGTACTTTTAGAGTTATGATAAACCGGCACGGGTAACGAGTGAAAAACCGAAAGAAAATAATTGAAACTTTATCATCAATAAAAAGGCCACGAGGAGTTGGTTTACATGTATAATCTCAGGAGCACTAAGTATTGTTAATTTTGTTCTGTGTTCAAGCGAAGAAAGGTTGGTTTTTGGCTTAAATTTTGGGCATTAGACTTGAATGTGTTTCGTTTAATCGCAGACGGATATTTTGCATAAGATTGCTGCTGCTTTCCTTAGATTCGATTTCAAGCGCACGACCAAGCCACGAAACCTTTGTCAACGTTTATGTTTATTTATTCGATTCCTGAAAGGTCTTGTTAGCATATGTTTCATATTTCAACATTGCATGGAATGTTAAATAAATACAATAGCTTTTCTTCTCCATTTGCGTTTGGTGGATTGCTGTCTGACTTTCTTTGCCATTAAAGGCGGACGAGCGAAAGCATGAAGTAATTTTGAGCTACGTAAAGTAGTTCGGACATTAACTTATGTGGCATCTGCATCTCCATCGACAGTAAATTGCAGACGAACCATATACAGGAAGTTTTCACCATGTAAAGTAGTTGGGTTATTGTGTCAAACTGAGATGTCTGTTTAGGCTTCGGCGTTAAAAAAAGAATTTGCATATGTGGTAGGGTTGTATCTGAGTAGAGTTATTCATAGGTGAAACGTTAATCGCGAATAGAACTCTGCTATCATGATTTGAGAAATATCTTGAATTATTTTGAATATTGTGTTTTCGGTTCTGATGCCAACACTACAGATATGCTTTGACATCTTCAGAATAGCTTTTTGGGAAGGAAAAAGAAAGTTTGTCTCGTTTTTTTATTATTTCCAAAACTTCATACGGTATAAGACCGGGGCCAAAATGTGAAAGGAGAGCGTTTTGATCCGTACTAATTCTAAAAAGGCGGTTCTCACCATTGTTTCAGAAAAATCCTTATTAAAAATCATCTTGATACGTCTTTTGAAACCCATCTTTCATCTTTTTTGTTACGGTGAATATATTAAGTTCATATACTTTGAACTGCGGTTATAGATACGAATGATGCACGATCCTCGCAGTAGAGAGCGCTATTTATGCAATAGCGAAAATCAGACCTGAAAAAAATCAGGCCTGTACGGGATTCGAACCACTGACCTAAATAGTGCTCTCTACTGTGAGGATCGTGCACCATTCGTATCTATAACCGCAGTTCAAAAGATATAAACTTCGTATGTTCACCGTATCTGATTTATCATCACGGGTTTATTACGAATCAACTTAAGGGCCACCTCCCAGTTGGCTTGTTAGCTCAATTGGTAGAGCGCTGCACTAGTATCGCAGAGGTTAGTGGTTCGAATCCCGTACAGGCCTGATTTTTTCAGGTCTGATCTTCGCTATTGCATAAATAGCGCTCTTTACTGCGAGGATCGTACATCATTCGTTTCATCTTTTTGAAAAAGTGTGACTGTAATGAGTTGAATGAGAATACAGAAACAAAACATATTTACTCAAAACTGGTTCATTATTTATCGGTGGCCAATTTACCATTTCAACTTTGTTCAAATTATTTGGTTCATTATTTGGTTCATTATTTGGTTCGTTATTTGGTTCATTATTTGGTTCTTACTGGCCCGCCTTAGAATTATTCTTTAATATCGCACCATCTTACAGAGGTTCTTTATTTCATTCTTCTCAATTCAACAGGGACATCAACCCATTCTATTTGCCCTTCGAACAGTAACTTTTTATTCTCTGCCTGACGATCGCAAAAAATTCCTTACAAAAGAGCATCAGTTTTCTACGAAATTCAAAATAGTGATTGCAATAATTTTAATTCAACGCTGGAAGTATCTTTCTTTCGCTCAAACTGAATCGAAGCACACAGTTATGAGCATAAACAATGTATCCGCACAACAAGACAATAAGTTTTTAACGAAGCAAACATATGAATACTCGAGGATATTACCTTTAGCACATTTTCCAGCTGCCGGATAAAAGACTTTATAGCTCATTTCGAAAACAACTCGTTTTACCTTCGCTGCCTTTTCGTCACTTCCGAGTAAAACAAACTCCATTTAGCAGATCTTAGCTGTTACCAGCGACAACGGATGTTTCATTAACAACTGTATCCAGAATGAAGACGTACGCCGCAAGGCACTGTATCGTATGGAATTTAAATTCTCGTGTAAGGCCCCACATCAAGAAAGCGCATGGCTAAAGAAAAGGCGTATCCAAAATTTGGAGAGGGTTATGGCAGGAGTCTGTTACGTACATAGCTCCTCACAATAGCAAGTTTGTTCGGTTGCGTCTATACTTTTCAAACGAAGTAGTAGTATACACGTTCCCCACCATACGAATACATGTCTTTTTTCAAATTTTCTTGGTAGCACAACACCTAGCAGTCGTCGAAAATGTGAAGCTATAGAAGTTTTCGTTAATACCTTTGAGACTACTACGGTTGTTTTTATTAAGGCGGTTACCCACCCCATCCCCCCCATTCCCCCCAACCTTTTCTTGTCCTTAGGTGAACAACCTCTTGGCGGATCTCATCACGATCTTGTTGAGATCTTTCCGGAATCTAGCTTGCCTCTGGAAGAATGAAGATTTATGAACTTCAAGTCGAAGGAAGCTAAAAAAGATCAAACTGTTATTGGTAGATGAGGGTGAATGCGCCCCTTCATCGTCGATGCGTAGCGATATTTTGAAGTTCCTTGAAAGTAAAAATTTCATGGTGAAGTGTCTAAAAAAAGCCCTTTTCAAAGTTATTTGGTTTAAATCAGGTTTTAAATAGGTATATTCAAAGGTGGAATATCTTGAGACGGATCTCCCTGATCGTATTGAAAAAACTCAGTTTAGGCACAAAACTAGGCGTATTGCACCTTTTAAAAAGTGCTCAATTGGCCTTTTATTATTTGAGTTATTCAGTTTCTGGCGCAAAGCACTTTATCACAAGAAGCTTCGTCGGAGGTCACGTATATGACATATGTATTTGTGGTGCTAGCATTACATGATAACCTCTTATCTAAGGATCTAAATTGAAAATGTACCCTGGATCAGTAAAACCTTCAAGGGTTCCTGCAAAATTAAACATACTAAACATCTCAAACAGAGCTATCGAGTTTTCATTTATTGTCTTAAAATACCCCACTGAGTTGAAATTATTGTGCGCTGTACGAGCTTAAACTAAGCTAATAACGGTTGCTAATTACAATAAAGTTATGCTGCATATTTCAGACCTTATGTCATTTAAGATTAGACCAATCACTCAAGCATACTTGCCAACATTAAAGTACCTCATGCAAAACACATTAACAATTAGCATATTCATTTGAGAGTGCAGCTATATTGCGGCTCTTCTGTGTTGTGGTTTTATCACGGCGGTTTGTCGTGTTTTTTTGCGAACGCAAGTGGGGCTCAGTGAACATCTTTGTACTGAATTGTGCCATAAACAAACTCAAGATTAAATTTCCTTCGAAGTTCAGCCGAAGTGTTTACGGACAGGTAAGAACTGAAGCGTTTGATGTAATCATAATTTGGCGATCGAGGCGTTTGTGTACAATACATCGAAATGAACCGTAAATTTTGAAAAACTTTCAATTGAAATTGCATGTTGGAACTAGTTTCAACGTGTTGTCGTACTTAATACTTGACTGAAAGTTTTTAGAAGCTTTTTAGTCATTAATAATCAAAACATAAAACGGTTTCAGTTAAGGTCCAGTTAAACACTCAACGAAGTTTCTGTTGTAAACAAAACGGCAAAGTGATACACATCTCGGTCAATTATTTCATCAGGACATGTAACCTTGGTTTGCCACAACTTCTATCGAAATTTCAAGTAGATTTCCCATCAGCTCCCAGCTTGCACAGAAAAAAGCAAAGCACTTTGGCCGGGCTAGTTTTCAGAGCGCCGGCTAGCATGCAAATCATTCTTTATTATTCTTATAACGTATTCTAACAAACATTAAAACATCAGTTTGTCGGAGCGATGAATATTTATCACGAATAAAAATATAAAATTCTCCTAACCCTATGGCTGAAGACTTCATGTATTAAACTCAGTTAATTTATCTTGACAATCGTGACAATTGAAGTCTTTATAATGTGAAACTTAACTTTTAACATTTACATGTTTCAAACTACTGATCCGTCTGGAAATTTCCAGAGTTTTAAGAGAAAGTAAAGTAAGGTAAAGAGAATTTTTTTTTTCCCACCTGAGGCCCGTTTCTCGAAAGTCCCAGTAACTTAACGGGCCCGTAAAAGCTGCTCTGTTTTCACTCAAGATGGAAATTTCAAAAGTTTTGAAAATGTTACAATAAAACTATCAGCTAAAGAAACAAAAGGGACTGGCTTGGGTGTTAGAGCCAGCTTTCCTATCTTTTAAATTTTGATTTTAAAACATAGCTTTGGGCCCGTTAAGTTGCTGGGACTTTCGAGAAGCGGGTCCCTGGTCTTGAACAGGCCTGCCATTGACAAAGAGTAGAAGAGGGGGTCCTGAAATAATTTCTGTTATCAAATGGACCTTTCCGATAATATCAGCCGTAGGATAATCTTTTAGGACAACAGCGACAGCAACAGCTTGAATTTCCGGCTCTTAAAGATTTACGTAGCAATGGAAGAACCTATCAAACACGCCTAATAAATACATAACCTTAGTGAATCTTAGTCGGGATGATAATCAGCTTGTAAAATAATCGCTTTTTGAAATTTTCCTTAATTAGTCTTCCTTAGAGCTTAGTGTGTCCGTAAAGAGGCTTAAAAGTTAAAGGCGTTTCTATCCCTTTGTCAAAAATTCGTGGAAAGGGTGCATCTCGATGACAATGGAAAATATTTTGGCAGTGGGACAGTTTTCTTCCAGGCTCAAAATCATCGCTTACTGACAAATGAATTGACGCAGAACACTCATTCAAAAAGGAAATGTTTCTCCTCTTGTTATTTTTTTTCAGCAGTGAAGATGGTTAGTTATCCAAATAGCAGCAGACCTGTTATCAATAGCGGCTATATTTGTTCCATACGAGGATTTCTTAAGATCTTAGAGAGCGTAAGTTGAATAAGTTATCCATTTACACCCTAGCTAACATCAGCATGCATATTCTCCATACTGTTCTCTATACATTTCCTAAGATGCTGACAAGGAGAATTTGTTTAACAATCAAGAGCTTCTTTAGTTGTTGATCATTTCCTTTATTCTCACGAGCATGATCCTTGATTCAGGGGTAGGAGAAGTGAGTGTGCTTTTCGGTATCCGTATTTATCGATAACAGCGCACTCTTGTATACAGAAATCTTAACATTTTTAGAGCGTTTCAACAGTTTTAAAGCTGGTTGAAGTTTTGATTAATGAACACACACCTATTGCGTAGACTTACAGCGCTTGCTATCTCTTTCTAGGTTGTGCTGCTGGCCTCCTTCATATTCGGCCAGCTTTATGAATCGTTTTACAGTCCCCCTCACCTACCTTACTTCTTTGTGGTTGTATTTGTGGGAATGATGCTTCTCCTTCTGCTGTATACCTTCTTTCTGTTCTCGTTGGAGAAGCGGTTTGATACCTTCAACTGGTATCTTATGGTGAGTATAAAATCAAGGAGGAAAAGGATCTTGAACCCAAAATATTCCATTAAAATTGTCAGTTCCTCAAAAAGTCATATATATATATCCAGCTGGGCTGTGTTTCTCAAGCATGTCACATAGAGGGAATAGAGGGCGGGCGAGAAGTAATTTTGGACCCTTCTATCAGAAAAACTCTTACATCCGCCACTGCAAGGAGGGAACATCGCCTACCATAAATGACAGTCAACATTTGGTTAAAAAACGCTAACTTCTTAAAAAATTGCCTCAAATTAGGTCTGCAGACAAATATCATAATTACTTTGAAAGCAGGCTTTACATAAGCGTCGATCAAACAAACGCATGTGCATTCTGTTTACTACCTTTACACGGACGGGTGGGGTGGGTGTAAAAAACGGGGAGAGTGCTACAAGGAAGGACAAATGTCCACGCTTTCCGGTGTAAGGTTTAACTCCCTTTGAGCAAACTTGTTATTACTTACTTGAATATAATAAAACATCGACTGAGTTTTTCCACTGCCTTTTTTCCCCATTTATCATGTTACAGGACGTAATCTTTTGTGGTTTTCTAGCTGTTATGCTTACTGCAAGTGCTGGACTCCTGGCTAAAGAGGCAGACTTCAGGGAGAGACACGGAAATAAGTTTTCTGGTTGGCTCTACGATCGTCTCGTGGCTGCAGTAGTAAGTTAATTTTGGGATCAGCAAGTGTCTGTGGCTTTTTTTTTACCACCAGTTTTTGTTCAGATGCCGACAAAAATTCGATATTTCTGCTTGGATTGACCAATTACAACTGACTTTCTCTACGCAAGTGTCGCAGTCAATGACATCACGTCATAACTCGAGCTACAAAATCGAATAAAGATCTCAAGGTTATATTTTTAATAAGACCTTTGCAACTTTATTCACAACTTCGGGACCTTTTTGCACTTCTGCACAAACTATGGTTTAAATTAAAAGACATGCGGACGATATTAAGTTGGGACCAGATCAAAAGGAATTCTTCTCGCTTTTTCTCAAATTTCAAAACTTGCTTTCCTTTCACGCTCGAAGGACCGTTATAAACAGAAACCCATTTTTGAGACGTCCTTTGAACATAAAGCATCAGATAAATCTCGGTATCTGAGTAATTTGCGCACTTACCCCTCTCCGATCCCCTAGGGCTAATGTTAGGTTAGGGGAGGGATGGGTGCATAGAGCTCCATAAGTACTCTTTCAATAGCCATCACACATTCAAATTTCTTTCTTTTTTTTTTTTTTTTCTTTTTCTTTTTTCAGGTTCTGGCTTTTGTTGTCGTGCTGTTACTCATCATCGATATCATCGTCAGTTTGTTTCAGTATCGCCGTTTAAGACGATTGGGGCAGCATTAAGGAGATCCATGAATACAACTTCGCGATGATCTCTTCCATTGATTAATAACCAATGACGTTGTCACGCAACGGTGTTGCTGTTATGTTTGCTTTGAAGGAGCTGTGTGACAACCCAAAAGCTAACTCCGCAGAATACGTACGTTAGCCCTTTATTTGTGTTTAAAAGTGTTTCATCTGATTTGTTGTGCTTTTAAAATCATATTTTCACCTGAAAAAAAAAAGTTGACTAATTATGTTTGAACAGTTCTTTTTTTGTATAGAATAACACTACTTTTTGCACCAGGCGATACCTGCTATAAATCGTGAACATGACTCCTTCCCCATTTAATGCTGCCCGTTTGTAGCTTAAAGCTCACGGAATCACGATACAACGTTGTGTTTGGGAGAACGGAGCGAGTAGGTAGTTAAGGGGGTCAATGCGTCAACAATTAAGTCGCCGACTGTATGTTCAAAACCTAAAATGTGAAACACCAGACTTGTAATTGATTATAACTAACTTGAGTGTAATTTTCTCACATGAAAAATAAAAACACCTTTCTTCTTGTAATAAAATTGGAATCTTTTTAAATAGGTTATTTTTTTTAGCTCTTTTTCCTGAGAAATACTCGACATATCAGCTCACGTTAGCATAATGGAGCACACTTCTCCCCTCGAAGTCTCCGCCCCTTAAATTGCAACGACTTTCTTGGCCGAGAGACATGGCAGTCAGACCGACAACAAAGTTTTCAACTCCTACGATTAGATCCGCCGACCCAACCTGTATATTGTCCCATTGCCTTGTTCCAAGAGATTTTGGTAATGGATACCATGGCATGCTCTCCCTCCCTTACCCACCTCCACCACAGAACGTGTTTTTCAGCGTATTGTGATATTTTCCTTTCTTTGCTCGTTCTTCAGCAGTTTTCTCCCTTTTTCTGACCTCCGGGAACTTATTTTGAGGTATTTTTCAAGGGGTGAGGCAAATTCGTCTTCAGGGGTCGGGGGGGGGAGGGTATTTTCACCTGGATTCGCTTGTGAAACTCATGAATTTTGCCCCTTCCCTACACTAACGTCATCATGATCAGGAAACCTACAGAATCCGGGTATGCTTATACTGTAAATCGATAATCGAATAGCCATGCGCTCATTTAATTTTTGTCATTCAAAGTTTAGTCTTAGCTGACTTTATGAAAACTAATTTTCTTCTAGTGGCAGTGGTGATTGATGTCATATTTGTTCCAGTCATGGGCGCACTGATTGAACTTTGAGTAAATATTTGCATGACATTCTTTAGTCAAATACATGAATATTAAGGTAGACGTTGCGACGTTATAAGAACATACTCTACCATCAAATATTTTTTCTTCTCTTTCCGACATTGCACACAGATGATATTATTTTCTTATCGCTGCAGATGTCCATTACCCGGGCCCATCTCGACTGAATAATTTTTTCCTCCTTGTTACTGTGACGTCATGGCTTCTTGTGATCGCTATAATTGTGCGCCCTCGATTACCGGGTAACGCTGACTCTGAATAAAGAGAAGTTTTAAAAGATTAGGTAATTTCCCTCCAACGATAATTGTAATTTCCAGTCAGAATACTCTAAGAATTTTCGTGAAGACTTAAACAAAATATACCCAAGTTGAGGTCTACTTGGGACTAACAATTCATTTTCAAAAGATTTTTTCCCAGTTTAATCTCAGTCATTAGCTTTTCAGTTAACTGAATACTAGTCTAGACTGTTAAAAAATAAACAGTCGTGTGTTAAATACCCAAGGCGACGATAGCAGAGCGATAAGAAATTTAACATTAAAGACCCTTTTAAACGGTTTCAGCATTTGACTAACACTCGTTCAACAAAAGTTGAACAGATCGGTTGGGCAAATTTTGGACTCAACTAAGTTTTGCGGAGGCCTTTTAAAAGATATGAAATATAAATATAGAGGTAAGACCGATACAACGTAGATAAGTAAATTTTAAGACGGAGCACTATATTTCGGCTGGCCAAACCAGGCTTCTTCAGGTGCAGTTTTAAAAGGCCTTACAAAGGCCTTACAAAGGAAAAGTTGAATCGATATTGAATGCAAGTTTAAACCGATTTAAACTTGATTCAACACGCTTTTAACAAGCCTTTAACATTTTTTTTGCGTTTTCAACAATGTTGGACGACCTGTTTAAACGCACTGAAGATTTGGTTCAACAAAGTGTTGGGCATGTTAAAGCAACTCTTCCCAATCCCCCTCCTATTTTTTTCTTCGCATATGCATTACAATTAGAACACCTGTAACGCGAAGTGTAACGCGATCTTATTGGCCAACCAATTTCTGTAATTGTGTTTTCAGGCCTTGAGCGGGCTGCCTGTGAAATGATCTAATTTTTTTTATTCGAATCAATCTTGTTAAACGAGTTCAATCAAGTTATGTTTTATTTTTTAATCCACATTTGACTTTAAAATCATGAAGAAATATAGCTTTTGTCAAATGCGAAAAACAATTACAGTTAACTTATGTTTGTCTCAATTGCTGTCAATGGATATGAATAATTGATTAAAAATTTTTTTTTGTATTTGCTCTTCAAGATGTTCTTCTGTTGCATCAAATTTCTAATTCTCGTTGGAAGAAATTAGTTTTCTGTATATTTCGTTCCTCTTTCTTTTACGTTGTCTTCATTTTCTTTCAACGTCAGAACCAAATAATACATTTTAAATATTCAATTGCTGCTAAGGGCTAACATCGAAAATGATAGCCCTTAACAGCTCTGACATGAATGCAAAATGAGAAACGATGGAAATTTTAGATAGGAGGGGCTGTTCAGGTGATAGTGCATTGCTAGCAAGAATCTTTCCGTAAAAAGTTTGCCAACTCACTTATTTCTACTCCTCATTGTCAACACCATTAAGTTTGTCACGTTTTTGAATGATGTTGAATCAACCGCAAAGTAGGCGTTCACTTTTGTTTACGCTGTTTAAGTGACGCTTGAGGTATTATTGCCCATATCATCAGACAGCTCTGGTAAGCATAAAACCTTCAGCTCCTCTTTGCTCGGAAAATCGTTCAAGCTCAAATTGAGGATATCTTTGGGTAAGAGTTACATGCAACGTTGCACATTGAATGATTTAATGTTAAGTTGTAATTTGAAAAAAATCTTTTGAGAGCCATCGCCTCATTATTAAGCGTCGCTAACTGAATGAACCAACCTTACTTTGGTTGTTAACGTTTTACATTCAGGCTTCTTTTCCACCGCCAGTTTTAATGAATCAGGTCGTAAACTGATTAGCTTACAGTGAAACAGAGCAGTATTCCAGCAGTTGACGGTTAAAGTGAAAGTAGTAGATAGCGCTATTTACGCAATCCTGCTCTCAGTTGGCTTGTTAGCTCAATTGGTAGAGCGCTGCACTAGTATCGCAGAGGTCAGTGGTTCGAGTCCCGTACAGGCCTGATTTTTTTCAGGTCTGATTTTCGCTATTGCATAAATAGCGCTATCTACTGCGAGGATCGTGCATCATACGTATCTAATACCGCAGTTGAAAATATATGAACTTCATATATTCATTGTATCTCACAAATATAAAAGGCGCCGCGGCTATTGTCACTCATAGCTACGAGAACTGACTATCGAAAGCACTCCAAGAAGTTCTGGCAAAATTTTAAAGTTCCGCAAAACATCAACATTTTGAGACTTCCCTCAATCTGGAAGCGGGATTGTTTATCGATTCTATAATGCACAGCAACTGAAACAGATGGTTAACATTTAAAACCGTTTTCGTAATTTTGCATATGCAAAATAACAACAAATTTTTCACGCATACTAATCATTGCTGTTCTGAGGGCCCAACAGCATTTTCTCATTTTATTCGTAAACTGCCAAAAATAGACGTGATTTGCTATCTTTCCAATGTACATCTACAGCTTTGTCGATTTTGGGACTGCTGCGATTGATAGAAGTCTTAAGGCGGAAATCAATTGTTCGCAAGGAACAGATCTTAAAAAGGACAGCTCCCTAAATTTGACCGTCAGTGTGCGAAACAAAAGGTTTCGTATTACATTAAACATCGTGATATCATTGCAACACGTTTTAGAAAGCAGTACTAAGACTAAATATTTCGGAAAATTTCCATCACGTTTCCTAAAAAATGACTTGAACCGTCAGTGATATCTTTATTCGCTGAGTTTTTTTAATCCTTCAAATGTCAAACATCAAATTTCTCCTCTTAAACAAGTTTCAAGTTCTACTGAAATTCAACTTGAGGCAAACGGCAGAAACTAAACAAAAGAAACCTCCTATATGAAATTAAGATAGCGTAGGTGGTTTAGGTGAAATTAAGCGTTAAAAAATTTGATTGAGTCATTTATTAACTGAACCAGTAAAATTTATTGTACTTGATTTGATATTAATGCTAGTCGTATATTGGTGTACCGTGGGTAATTAAAGCGCATAGAGTTCAATTTTAATGCGCTATATAAGAACTTATTATTAAAATTAAAATTCATGCTAGTCTTATATTGGTGTACCGTGGGTAATTAATGCTAGTCTTATATTGGTGTACCGTGGGTAATTTATAACGCTCCTGCTTCTTTTAAGGTGGAGCGAAGGACTTTAAAAGCAATATAGATCTAATAGACCTCAAATTTAGAGTCCAATACAAATTAATACGAGAGATCATAAACAAAATTAAGTTTCTCGCAGATTCATTTGAATCAGTAAAAGTCATTTGATAATAATCCACGGCTAAGCCATGTCAAAGAGTTTCTCAGTTAGAAAAAAATGAAACTTTCTTGGGAGGTAGGCGAACCTATCCTGCCTTTCGGAGAAATTTCATTTTCGGATTCGTTCTAGTGACTGCTATATCTGTTGGACTATGCGTGTAAATTATATGAAAAAGCCTCTTTCACCTACCTACGTAAGTTTCTAAAGAAATTGTTGTGCTGCGTCGTTGGGGGGATTACTAGATAATGTGGTGTTATTAACTCAGGTGATGACCCAACTTATGTAGAAATTAAATGCATTAGTTATGTCCATCATGCAAGCAGGACAACAGAACACTTATGGATTTCAACTTCGCCCTATTTATAACGCACACGTCACGTAAGATATCGACTCTAAATAATTGGTTAAGAAAAAAACCGGGTCAATAGGGAATAAAGCCGATCGGGGATCTTAGCTGCACGCCATCCTCGTTCATCGTGGGAATGTTCATTAATAATTTGCTTACCTGAAACATCAGAAGAAATCTTCAGAAAATGCTGCCAGTTGATCAGCCTCTCGTGGCTCGTTTCAAGCCCAATCATGTGACTTCTAAGTTAAAAGTATCCTTTATGAGCCCTTTATTACCAGGATTTTCTTAATTTAGCTCGGCGGGGGCCACACTTGGTTAAGAATATTGAAACAACATCCCCCTGTTCTGGCTGAAACAGGAAGCAGTTGTTTTTTATAAGAAAAATTAAAAGCAATAGATATCTTTAATTTTCTTTTCATCCATTTATAACTTGACAGGGTCTTTGTTTGTGGTTTCTCGATCTTTTTCTGGCTTGAATTTGCTTTCTTTCAGTGATGAGTAATGATTTAATTTATGAGTGGGTTGGTTACCGAAACTGTTAAGGTTGTTCTGCAAGCATCCACTCGACGTGTACTTTAAAAGTGTTAACATGAAACACAGGGTTTTGCACAAAAAGGTTTCAACAAACCCTTGATTATTTTCCAAATTCATAAATTCCTTGAGGATATGCAACCCAGTTTACCGTTTTTTTTTTCTGGCGGAATAACGTTAATTTGTAAATATTTATTTAGAGCTCGTATCTTGTGTTGACTGGCTAGTTGCCATTGACCATTATGCTGCTGTGAATGAATTCACTAAGTGTCCAAAGGTCTGACGATGTTAACTGCCAGTCTCGTTGTAAACTTAAACCTACCAACAGTGGTGGGGCAAACATGAATGCTTTGAGTGTCATTTAACGTGAACGAAAAGCCATCCAGGTGTTCGTTAACGTCCGGCGCTTCCAAACGGGAGCAATAAATAAATATATAAATCAATCAATCAAGTTATTAGTGTCCTGACGTAGGATGAAGTTGCTCTTCAATTGAGGTAGAGCCTCAAATATAAAGCACGTGGCAAATCATTAGTTTATGGTCAAGAAAGTCGAACAGCAAACACGTCTTATCTTTCAATTTTTTTTAGAAGCACAGATAAAGGATGGCAGATCCAGAGAACCCAGATACCACAACCAGGTCTGACGAGGCCCCCGCGGAGAAATCCGGCAGCGGAGGAAATGGATCTGGGAGTATCGAGCTAACTATGGGGTACATCATCTCGATTCCTGGAATACTGAAGATCGTTGAATTTGTAAGTATTGCTGTTTAGTGTGCTAAGTCATATTTGTAGCGTGTGCCGGAAGGGGGGAGGGGGCTCTCATGAGGACAATGAAAAGACTCTGAATTCAAGGCTTAACCTCTTACACCCTTACATCAGTAAATATATTCTCCATACTGTCCTCCGTGTATTTCCTAAGGTGTTGACAAGGAGAATTTGTTAAAAATCAAGAGTTGGTGATTATTTTCTTTATTCTCGTGACTTTATCGTTTGATTCAGGTGTGCTACTGTAAGGAGAAATTAGATGTTAATCACTCCTAGGGGTCAAAGGGCTAGGTGCAATCGTTGCAAAATACTGGTAAACAGGGGATCCCCCAAGGGAAGTAGATATGAGAAGCAATGCCCCAGTTACTTTGAGCTTTGAACACCGGGCAATATTTTAGTCAGATCGATGGGCCACTTGGCTCGATTTCTGCCATTGCCTTATATTACCTTTGCTTGATCGCATGCTCCTATTGCTCAAGGCCCAGTTATTTCAAGGGCAGATAACGCTGGCCTGCGAATAAATCACATTCTAAGGGATAGGTGTCAGCAAGACGTGCTGCACTGTCCGCTGGATAGAGATCTGTTTAGTGAATACTGATACCCACCGTTAAAACAACCGCAGCCAGGTATATACTATATTCAAACGAACGGAGTTCGCACTCAAATTGACTTCCCTCTTTCCTACCTTACTTTGTAAGCTACAAAGACTTTCAAGTTTGAGCCGGTAAATCTGTGCCTGAATGTGTCAATAAGCATTTTTGCTAATTTTGGGTTTTAACTAAATCTTTACAGTTCACGCTGATGTTAGCATTCGCCCTAGCCGCTGATGTGGATTATTTAGGAACCTGGGGCCGGATGAATTTTTTCCTTTTTGTTACTATAACATCATGGCTTCTTGTGATTGCCGTATTTGTCTTGTTCGCATTCAATATCATATCAAAAATCAACCTCAGTATTGACTGGAACATCCCGGTGAGTAGAAAAGTCCCGAATACAGGGTTCAGTAACAAGACATTACCATTTGTTCCAGTAAAATAGATAGTCAAACAAACAACAAATATTCGATTCGTATCTTTCATATGTAATACGAGTGGTCAATATCTCACTCGTTCGCTGCGCTCACCTGTTCAGTATTTGTTCTTGCCACTCGAACATAAAATTCATATCTTCTCGCCACCGTGTGATATCCTCTATCCGTCATTATTAAAAACTGGATCATTGGATAATGCGAGTCAAGACTTTTTATTGGCTTAGCCAGTATGGTATATGAGCCAATATGCCATAATCTACAAATATGGTAAGCGTAGGCGTCAGCTTAAAATTAAAAGGGAGCTAAAAAATTTAATAAAATTTAATAATTTAATTTAATGTTTTTAATAAAACAATTATTCCACTCGCGCATGTTGGATATGAGATGATTATAGCAAACTCAGCGCTACGCGCCTCGTTGGCTATCTATCATCTCAATCCAACGCGCGCTCGTGGAATAATTGTTAATTAGTCGCATGCATGAATTATGAATGAACCTTGACCCTTGCCAAAATTTCGGATGAAATAAAAACGTTTAAGGCTAGGCGGCGTGTTTCTGAGTGTCAAAACCAAGTTCGGTGTTTGAAAACCGTATAAGCTTTTTTGGTAAAGCTCAAAACAAAATTGGTGAATATATAAGCTTGTGTACGAAGAGTCTCGAATGGGTGCCGGTGAAAATTGTTCCCCTTGCGCATGCCCGACGTTTGACCGCTGCGTTGCTACATATCATGTATTCCAATCACATTAAGTGTACAGGACATCATAAAATGATAGCAAAAGTGGGTTATCGAGCAATGAAACTTTAAGTTAAAGCTTCAATATGAAGAAAATCAAATCAGATGCGATAACAGTGTGATTTTTTCATTCTAGGTTTTTGTTTTCGCTCTTGTAGCAGCAATTCTTCTTCTGTTGAGTTCTGCTTTGTTAGCTGACCATGTAGCAGGTTTCTCTGGTTCGGTGATTGACAAAGTACGCGCCGCTGCGGTAAGTTTAAGTTTACTCTACAATACAAAGATTGAAGATGTCAAACATGAATACAAATGATGAAGAAGATGGTGTTTGGCATGGAATAGACCCTTTTTCCAAATAGATGGCCGGAAATCAAAATACATCACTAAGAGAAAAAAAATTCCACATAGAGAATTATCATGTTTCATACAGTATTAGGAGTATAGCCGGTACTCCTTTGCTATACAAACATCTAGAATTTTTCATCAGTTTGAATTTCATTCCCGTGTTGAAAAAAGCAAGTGACTAAATAAAATTTTGGAAGATTACCAGAAGTGTGCTTACTTTTAGGGTGGTCAAAATTTCAAAACAATTTTTGAATTTATCAGGATAATTTCTTTACCCTTGATTTTTACCAAGGTTTTGAGAAAGGCGTGGTCTTCTATCAGTTCTCACTGTTTAAAGAAAAACGAATATCTTTAAACCATTTTCTTCCGTAGATGGCCGCGACAACTTACATGTTTGTACTGTCTTTCTTCGAAGGCTTTTGGATTTATCTCCATGTTCGTGTTCATCGCAGATGCTGTTGTTTGCTTCCTGAGGAAAACTGGAAGGATGTAAACCAATGCTCACATTTTGATAAACTGTGTAGTCCTTAAGTTTGTTTAACCTTTTTAATAACTATTCTCGTCATATTTTTATATATACCTTTCCTCTATAATGAATAACACAATTCTAGAAACACACTGAGATTTATCCCGCAGAGAACGCGTACGATTAACCCTTTCATTCCAAGGAATGAATTACTAATAGTAATTGAACTGAGTGGATTGCAATTTGTATAGGTAATCACATGATTTCGAGTGCAATTTGGAATAAATAAGCACGAGTAAATTTTTTTCAAAGACTAACAAAATTGCACGAGCCCGTAGGGCAAGTGCAATTTGTGGTCTTTGAAAAAATTTCACAAGTGCTTATTTATTCCCAATTGCACGAGAAAATCATGTGGTTATCTATTAATAATATACATGAAAAAAAAACGAGGTGGCTTCTCATAACTAAGCAGAAGAAAAGCGCGCGCATCAGGTGCAAAAATAATTTATTCAAACCCTGCACGTGACATCGACCTTGACATTGACCTTAACATTGACCAATCATTCTGACCAATCAGAATGTCTGGTTTGCTTTTTTCTTTGCACTGAATTAACCCTCTTCTGCACTGAATTCACTGAAAACTGCATTCTTCTTAACCAATCAGAACTCAGAAATTTTTTGATGTATATTATTAGGGCTGAAATCATACGCGTGATTTCAAAATCGAGCGAGCGCGCAATCACAAGTATGATTTCAGACCAAAATTGCACGACACGAGGTTCAATTACCACTTTATTACATCCATTTTTAAATCGTCCAAATACAGGACTTGGTCAATTTAAATATTTTACTGATGCAGCACTGAGCTGGTTTTTAAACAAAAAGCGGAACCGGAAACTCTTTTACATCTTATTTTGTACCAAAATTGCACGACACGAGGTTCAATTACCACTTTATTACATCCATTTTTAAATCGTCCAAATACAGGACTTGGTCTATTCAAATGTGTTACTGATGTAGCACTGAGCTGGTTTTTAAATAAAAAGCGGAACCGGAAACTCTTTTACATCTTATTTTGTATGCAAAACAAAAAGACTTTGACGTCACGTGTCAAAAACTCAGTCAAGCGTAAAATGATGCGATTTAGAGCAAAAAATGGTGCGATTTGTGAATTAATAATATACATGGAAAAATTTCTCAGTTCTGATTGGTTGAGATGAATGCAGTTTTCAGTTAATTCAGTGCAGAAGAGAGTTAATTCAGTGCAAAGAAAGAAACAAACCAGACATTCTGATTGGTCAGAATGATTGGTCAATGTCAATGTCAATGTCAAGGTCAATGTCACTTGCAGGGTTTGAATAAATAATTTTTGCACCTGATGCGCGCGCTTTTCTTCTGCGTAGTTATGAGAAGCTACCTCGTATTTTTTCATGTATATTATTAATAGATGATCACATGATTTTCTCGTGCAATTTGGAATAAATAAGCACTTGTGAAATTTTTTCAAAGACCACAAATTGCACGAGCCCTACGGGCTCGTGCAATATTGTTAGTCTTTGAAAAAATTTGCTCGTGCTTATTTATTCCAAATTGCACTCGAAATCATGTGATTACCTATACAAATCGCACCAATTAGGGCCAATCAGATTACAGGGACCACCAGTGATTTCAAAATGGATGTAATAAAGATGTAACTTCTCCCTATAATATCCTTCCATTATCCAGGAAACAAGTGATGAGAATATGAAACTTATCAGGTAGAAGTTGTTATCTTGATCCATTACCGAATGCTCGCAAATAATTTACGAGGAAATGTGTAGCAGCTAGAAGGGAACGATATAGCGTTACCAGCTCGCGATCGTGTCCTGAGCCGCCATTTTTTTTTTATCTGGGATTCGAGAGAACGTTGTTTCTTCCACCCTCTGAGGTCTCAGAACCACGACAGAGATATCATAATGTAAGAAATGCCGCCTTTACTGCGACGCTAGATCTTAAATTATATTCGTGCACTGCAGGCAAAAGTAGATATGGCACAGTCATTCAAATAATTGCCTACGTAGCGATACCATCTGAGAGCAAATATTCTTTTGTTAACCAAACACTTACAAGTAGTCCATATGATTATGCTCTTATTATAAAGTAGGCATTAAACAAAACTGATTTTGGCCACTCGGTGGCTTTCTACCAAATTCATACCAATCATCGGCATACCAATCTCGAATCTATTGAGGCTTCAAAACCTCTAGGGAGCTTGACTTGTACTCAAAGTTCCATAATTACATACTTTATTATCTCTGGTATGACTGATAGCAGTTTGATGCTAAAATATTTTTGTTGCTTCGTAATTATGATTTTAAATTGGGGCTCATTGTGTCTTCAAATAAAACCTTGTGTGAACCACGACTTATTAGTGTTGTAATGATTTCCCTTCACCGCTAACCAAGCCAATTTCTTAATTTATCATTCAATGCTGCTGGTTCATTCCAGATTTGCACAAACCATTTCAGAATGCAAAATTATCGTATTTGCGTAAACATAAACCTTGGATGTCTTCACGCGAGAAAAATAGCTGAGAAGCAGTATGGCGATTGATTCACCCCCTTAAAATTGTACCGTGACAAACGCAGATGAACTTGTCATCATCTGTAGGAGAGACCAACAAAAGAGAGAACTCGCATCGTATTTTAAAAAGTGGTTTGTCATTTCAGCATCATCATGGGGGTAGCTAAGACAATAGCTTTACTTTATAGTACAATTTTTCTTTGTTTACAGATCATTGTCATTCTTTTGGTTCAAAATTTGTTCGTTTGGAATCCTAACTCAGTGGACGTTTGATATTTCATATCCTCCACAGAGTTAAAAGTTGGCCATGAATGAAATCATGGTCTCTGAAAAATCATATTTCAGATTTATGCAAATAGAAATAATACAGTTTCACGGTCATTAGAGGTCTCTATGGGACTCGTTAAAAAATGTCAATGATGGTGCGTTTTGCGTAAGGGAGTGGTCATTATTTATC